AGGTTTTCAGAGCTTCGGCAGCTTTTTTACCGTACTCCTCAACCTCCTGCTGCTTCTCTTCAGCTGCTGCTTGCTTCAGCTTAGCAAGCTTAACTTCCTCTTCAGCCACCTTCCTTTCGTGCACAGCAGCGTCAACCCTATCTTGTAGGGTATCAATCAGCTCTACAGTGAGAGTCTGATTGTGCACGAACTGAAAACAGGGGCACAAGTTAAAAAAGTAAAAAATAATAGCTGAAAGGTTGAGTTCAGAAAGAAATCAAGGCAAGGAGAATTACCTGCATCATCAGCAGTTGGTTGGACCTGGCAGGGTCAGGAACTGATCTGCTGGATTCGCCCATCCCAGCAGTGGCCTTCAGCGACCAAATCCTTGCCCTATCTACTTCGGACAGGCCAGCAAAATCGCCGAAGTAGGCTGCAGCACCTTCTCGGTTCTGACCCCATATGAGGTCCCAGATGTGGTCTGGGACTGGAATTCGGGGGGCCGAGAAACCCATTTCTCCAGACTGCAGCGTCTGGAAGGAAGGGAAGGATGACGATGGAGCCTCTTTAGCTTTGGGTGGCTCAACGTCCTCCTCCTTCTCAGAAGAGTCAATTATTGTGACCTCTTCTTCTTCAGGTGTGAGGACGAAGGCCCCAACCTCTCTGGCAATGTCCGCCGTGAAACCCTCAGCACTGGGCATCACGGCGTCTCCATCCTTGTCCTCGGCGGCACTCTCTCGAGCTTCTTCCAGAACCTCTCCCTTAGGTTTGGGAGTTCTCTGATCCACCTCCATCTCGGGGGGTGGCGGAGAGGCCCTTGGGGGTGATTGAGGCGGTGGCCGGGGAACCCTCGGCGATCCATTGCCTTCCCCGGGTTCCCTTATTTCAACGCCGAGGGTCATCGGCCTCCGCTGAAAGTCATGCGGGCCGATGATGGCCATTCTTCGGCGCCTCTTCTGAAGCGGCTGCTCGTCCATACCCGAGTCTGAAGACTCTTCTTGTACTTGGTCTTCGGGACGAACAGGGGCTTTCCCTTCTCTGTGTCTGTTACTCTCTTCAGACTGTAACAGACAGGGGGGAAGAAGAGTGTGAGTAAAAAAAAAAAAGAAAGAAGAAGAAAGACAAAGTTAAGTCTAAAGGCTCACCGAGGTCTTCAGCAAAGCCTCGTCTTCTTCAGCTGCCCTAGCCGCAGCTTCTTCAGCAACTCTGGAGGACCCTTCTCCACCTTCACAAGCTTCAATAACCCGTGCAACCTCTTCGGCTGTACGGGCAGCTTCAGCTTCTTCTTCCAGCAGCTGAAACAAGGGATCCCTCTTCTTCCACCAAGGCTTCTGCCTCTGATACAGAGCAACAGCCTCAATTTGGAAGTGGGAAGAGTCTAGGTGAACCTCTCGGCGCCTTGGTTCAGTGATAGGGGGAGCCCGATCAGTTACGACTCGTTCTCGGTTGACGCCAAGGCGAGCGTAATCAATGCCGACGTTGGTCTCGTCCCGTTCTGAAAAAGAAAAGGGGAGAAGTCAATTCAGTTAGTTCGGCACATCACAAGAAAGCAAAATGAAAGAAGAAAAGAGATAATTAAAAGGCCTCGGCCCCAGCCGAAGAAGATTACCATCCCTAAACTTTCGGCTGAGGCCGACAGCTGCCAGCATATTCTCTTGGAAAACATAGTGCGTATCGGGGAGCCAAGTCTCCGGGATATGCTGCATTCGGCCGCTGCCTCCCCGGTTCGGCAGCTTGCCGAAGATGTTCTGCTGATTAAGGTTCGGGTCTGGCCCGCTATCTTCGGGAGGACCTAAACTTCCCATATCAGGATCCGGCTCGGCAAGATACCGGGGAGCGCTGAAAACGTAAGGGTGGCTCGGCTCCGTGGGTGCCCTAACCCAAATCCATTGACCTCTCCAGTCCTTGTCTGAAGAGTCGTTCGGCCACATGGTTAGGAACGGGGGCCGAGACTCAATCCGATACCACCCAGAGCCATGGCATCCGTGCCCACTTTGAATGTTTGGCACTAGCCGATGGAGCCTTCTGAAGCAATGCAGGTTCGGCACGTACCTGAAGAATTTGCAGACCCATAAGTACGTCATTACCCTTCGGATGCTGGTGGGGGTCAGCTGGCACAGGGAAATGTTGTAATGGATCAGCAAGTCTCGGACGAAAACGTCCAAAGGGAACCTCAGCCCATACTGAAGCTGTCTCGTGTACACCCCCACATACCCCGGGGGTGGACGATGGATTCTATCGGATGCTGAGGGCATTCGGCACCAATATCCATCAGCTTCAAAAATGCCGTAGTGCAACTCAATTTGCTCGGCAAATCGATATTGATCGGCGTTCTCTACCCACCATGAGTAGGGGCGGTTCTTTATCATGGCCGAAGCGACTTCGGCATTCTCCCACTCTGAAAACCCAGGGAGGATATCCCAAAGGACAGCGGGAATTTCATCGTCCCGTCCAGAAGCACTCGGCTCATCCGTTCTCTGAGGAGGAGCCGAAGAAATGGGAGTCGCCCTAACCCCTTCAGCAGGGTCAGACTCTGTCCTTCGTCCATTCCAGGTCCCAATCCTGTCCCTGGGATCGGGGATTAGCCTTGCTCTTCTTGGAGCACGGGCTCCACCTCTAACTCCCCTCACCATTGACGAATTTCGAAGGAAAAAGTCGAAAAAGGGGAAAGAGTGCAAAGTCGAAGAAAGATGAAATAAAATCAAAGGAATTTACCTTGATCTGAAGCAAAAGCCGCCGATTTACGAATTGGTAGTGACAAGTCTCAGCTTCTAAGCTTAATGCTCGGGGAATTTGCGAAGTTTTGATGCGGGCTCTTGAGCGTTCTTGAGAATTCTGGGTTTGTGTTGATGAGTGAGTGGGGAGAGAAGACGCGCCTCTATTTATATCTCCAGAAATGGGAATTCAAGGAGTCTGCGTTTCAATTTCTCTCAAGCACCCCACTAAGTAACCGTTAAACACACGACCTTGCAGTTAAATCGCCCACTACCCGTCCAACTTCCGCAATTATCCACATTAACTGTTGTTATCTCATTAATCATGGGTTAATTACGGTTTAAATTCACATTTTTGGATTAACAAATCATTCACTTCCCTCCTTTTCTGGTTAAATCAAACCCGACCCGTCATCCTTCCAAATCGGGTCTGGGGGGCAAGTTGTTTGGGTCCAATTTAGTCCAATTGGGCCTGGTCACTGAATGATCCAATTAAAAGCCCAAGGTTAAGGTTCAACTCTCCAAATGTGCTAAAGTCAAAAATCAACATCCTCAAAGCCATGTCAAGGTCAGTCAACGGCCCAATCAGCTTGGCCCAGCCCAACTGACTTCCGGGCCCAATCCGCCTCCTTCATTAGCCAAGGTATAAAAGCCAACAATTTGGTCAATTCTTGGTAAGACAATAAAGCCTCAAGCAACTAAACTCTTGCACAGCTTTCTCTCTCTAATATACTGACTTAAGCATCGGAGGGGCCTTCCTCGGCGTCCCCCCCGAGGCTAGTTTACGTGTATTTGTTGTGCAGGAAACCCTCGGCTCCTGCGTCGTTCGGACCGAGACCAAGTTCCCTCAAGATAAAAGGATCTTCCGAGATTCGATTGTTTTCATCCGAAACAAGTCTTATTGATATGCAAGGGCTAGAGCAAACGAGCTGCGCGACGGTGATAAAAACACAACCTACTTTCATCATAAAGCTAGTGCCCGATTGAACAGAAATCGCATTAAGGGTCTTGAGAATAATGCTAGCCACTGGATTGAGGATGAAAAAGGCATTGAGCAGATTGTGTCTGATTACTTCTCATCCCTGTTCCACTCGGATGGTGCCCAAAATATTGAAGAGGCTCTTGCTGGAATGTACAGCAAAGTATCTGATGAAACTAACACCTCCCTGTGCAAGCCGCCCACTAGTGATGAAATTCAAATAGCATTGTTCGAGATGCATCCTAACAAAGCTCCGGGAATAGACGGTATGCATGCTTTATTTTATCAGAAATTTTGGCATATTGTTGGAAATGATGTTGTGAAATACTTTGTTGATTGGTGGTTCAGTCTTGTGGACATTTCGGATATCAACAAAACATGTATTGTTCTTATACCCAAATGTCATGCTCCCCGCAAAATAACTAAATTTCGACCAATTAACTTATGCACAGTGCTGTATAAAATTATCTCAAAAGTTCTTGCAATCCGCCTGAAACCTCTTCTTGAAAATTTGATCACTCCTCAACAAAGTGCTTTTGTCCCGGGACGACTGATCACTGATAATGCCCTTCTAACCTTTGAAGTCTTCCACTATATGAAAGGGTCTGGGGATAGTAGGCATGGTACTATGGCCTTAAAGTTAGATATGATGAAAGCCTATGACAGGGTTGAATGGAATTTTGTCGGGCAAGTTATGAGGAAACTGGGCTTCTGTGATGAGTGGGTTCAAAAAATTTTGCAATGTATTTCAAGCTGCTCTTTTCAGTTCAAGGTGAATGGGGACCTTTTTGGCCATGTCATTCCCCAACGAGGCATACGACATGGAGACCCCATGTCACCTTACTTATTTTTTCTTGTTGCAGATGCATTTTCCTACCTATTATCTAATGCAACCCAATCAGGTAAGATCCATGGAGCCAAGATTTGTAAGGGAGCGCCCCGTATCTCTCATTTACTCTTCGCCGACGATAGTATTCTGTTCAGTAGAGCCACTAATAAGGAGATTATGGAGATTGCAAGAATTCTGAGAATTTATGAAGCGGCTTCGGGGCAAAAAGTTAGTTTTCATAAATCGGAAGTCGTATTTAGTAGGCGTGTACCCGGGCCAAAAAGGGCTGAATTGTGTAGTCTGCTGGGTGTAAGGGAGGTTGCGAGGCATGATAAATACCTTGGTGCACCCACCATCATTGGGACATTAAAGAAGGCTTTTTGTTGGTATCAAAGAGAAAATTTGGAAGAAACTCCAAGGGTGGAAGGAAAATCTTTTGTTTAAGGCGGGTAAGGAGGTGCTTATCAAAGCCGTGGCCCAAGCCATTCCAACATACTTGATGGGTATGTTCAAAGTTCCCGACAACTTGATTGAAGAGATTCATTCTATCTTGAATAAATTTTGGTGGGGGAATGGGAGGGAAAGGAAGATGCATTGGAAGGGTTGGTTTTCATTATGTATGCCTAAGAAATGTGGGGGTATGGGTTTTCGAGATCTGAGAATTTTTAACCATGCGCTTTTAGCAAAACAAGACTGGCGTTTGCTGCAGCATAATAATACTCTGGTATACAAGGTTCTCAAAGCCCGTTACTTTAAGCATTCTTCATTTCTTGAGGCTCGGAGAGGCTTCAACCCAAGCTATACTTGGAGGAGCATATGGGGGGCAAAAGCTCTCTTGGAAGAGGGTCTTCAATGGAGGATTGGGAATGGCCATTCAGTCAAGGTGTGGACAGATAACTGGGTTCCTGGAATTGGAAATTCGGGTACTCCTATACCCCACGCTAATGGTCTCCATGACAATGATTTAAAGGTGGAAGGACTGATTGATTGGGAAAGAAGATGCTGGAATCATGATGCTTTAGCCCTACATTTGCATGATGAGGATACAGCTGTTGTTCTAACCATACCTTTGATCTCAGCCTTTGAACCAGACTCTCTTTACTAGAAATACAATGTGAATGGTATATTTTCGGTTAGATTAGCCTACTGGCTTAGCATGATGGGTAACAATGCATCTTTCAATCAGGTGGACGATGATATGGTCTGGAAGAAAATCTGGAAGCTGCATGTTCCCCCAAAACTTAAGCACTTTCTGTGGCGTGCATGCACAACTAGAAAACAGCTAATTTACGAAGGACATATTCCATCGGAAAACATTAAAAATCCGTCGGAAAGTCCAGTTTCCGACGGAATTCCGTCGGAACTCGCTGTCGGAGACCCCTTTGTAGGAAATTTGGGTTATACCGAGGGATTTTCTGTCGGAAACATCCTTACCGAGGGAATTTCCGACGGATTTTAGTTTCTCGGAACCTAAGTTTGACCAGAATTGGAAGTCCGTCGCAAGCTTCCGACGGAATGAAATCCCTCGGAATTTTCCCCTGTTCTGACGGAAATTTCCGTCGGAAGGCCCCACGTTTCCGAGGGAAATTTCCGTCGGAAAAAGGGAAAGTTACGAGGGATCTTTTCCGTCGGAAGGTCCCCTTTTCCGAGGGAAAACAATTCCGTCGGAAGATCACCTATTCCGAGGGATTTTTTTTCCGTCGGAAGCTCAAATTTTCCGAGGGATTAGAATTCCGTCGGAACTTTTCTTTTTTGGTATGAGATAAATTTCTATATTTGGCTATATATTTTCCTCCGGGACAAACCTGTAATTCCTGCTTCGTATATTATATTACTCATTGAATAATTTGTGCAAATATATATATATATAGATACTAATTCCAATATTTACAATAAACACTAAGTTAATATTTTGATTACAACTAACAAACAATAAGTTCATCAATGCAATACAACAGCGCGAGAGCCCTGGCCAGCTCCACCAAATCCCGGGTCGTCGTCCCTGAGATCTCGAAATGGAGGTCGCACGTTGGAACATGGGTCATTGGCGTAACGACCCATCATCCTTTCTTCCAGCCTCTTCTCCATTTTCTCCATTTGGGCTTGTAGTTGGGCTTGAACTTGAGCTTGAACTTGGGCTTGAACTCGGGCTTCCATGTCGCCTTCCATTTGTTCCCGAATAGCCTGGACCCTGGATTCCATCCGATCCTGCATCTGAGAAACAAAGGAGGGCGTGTACTGCAAGGAAGAGGTGGAAAGTCGGCGACCTATCTGGCTGCCATAGTACATGTCAGCACTTTCGCCTAGTCCCTTCACACGTCCTTTTTTGTTCCGACCACCCACTGTCTCCCAGTACAGCTCATTCGGACTCTTCTGAGTCCTTTGAGTTCTAGCCGCCTCAATCCTCTTTTGGTAGGCCTCCTACAAGATAAACATATAAAAGGGAACAAACGAGGTAGTAAGTTATACAAATAAGCTAAACTAAATTGAGCCAACTATGAAGTATATGACCTTTCTTTCTGTAAACATGCATATTTTAGGTATTTTAAGGTGTTCATGACTTGAAATCACAAAAAAATACAAGTCCCTAAGGTTTGGGACGCATTTTGAGCCAAATGGAGCCAAATATGGCCTGTATGACCTATTCTTTGCCCATTTTCTATGTTTTTGACCAAATGAACTATTTATTTCTCTAAACATCTCTATTAAAGGTATTCTAAGGGGTACAGGACTTGAAATGCCAAAAAAATACAACTCCCTAAGGTTTGGGACGCATTTTGGAGCCAAATTGAGCCAACTATGGCCTATATGACCTATTCCTTGCCCATTTTCTATGTTTTTGACCAAATGAACTATTTCTTTCTCTAAAAATGCATATTTTAGGTATTATAAGGGGTACAGGCCATGAAATCACAAAAAAATACAAGTCCTAAGGTTTGGGACGCATTTTGAGCCAAATGGAGCCAAATATGGCCTGTATGACCTATTCTTTGCCCATTTTCTATGTTTTTGACCAAATGAACTATTTATTTCTCTAAAAATCTATATTACAGGTATTCTAAGGGGTAAATTCCTTGAAATTCCAAAAAAATACAACTCCCTAAGGTTTGGGACGCATTTTGGAGCCAAACTGAGCCAACTATGGCCTATATGACCTATTCCTTGCCCATTTTCTATGTTTTTAACCAAATGAACTATTTCTTTCTCTAAAAATGCATATTTTAGGTATTATAAGGGTTACAGGTCGTTAAATCACAAAAAACTACAAGTCCCTAAGGTTTGGGACGCATTTTGAGCCAAATTGAGCCAACTATGGCCTATATGACCTATTCCTTGCCCATTTTCTATGTTTTTGACCAAATGAACTATGTTTTTTCTCTAAAAATATCTATTACAGGTATTCTAAGGGTTTCATGACTTGAAATCACAAAAAAATACAAGTCCCTAAGGTTTGGGACGCATTTTGAGCCAAATGGAGCCAAATATGGCCTGTGTGACCTATTCTTTGCCCATTTTCTATGTTTTTGACCAAATGAACTAATTTTTTCTATAAACATATCTATTAAAGGTATTATAAGGGGTTCATGACTTGAAATCACAAAAAAAATACAAGTCCCTAAGGTTTGGGACACATTTTGAGCCAAATGGAGTCAAATATGGCCTGTATGACCTATTCTTTGCCCATTTTCTATGTTTTTGACCAAATGAACTATTTTTTTCTCTAAACATCTCTATTAAAGGTATTCTAAGGGGTTCATGACTTGAAATCACAAAAAAATACAAGTCCCTAAGGTTTGGGACGCATTTTGAGCCAAATGGAGCCCAATATGGCCTGTATGACCTATTCTTTGCCCATTTTCTATGTTTTTGACCAAATGAACTATATTTTCTCTAAAAATCTCTATTAAAGGTATTCTAAGGGGTTCATGACTTGAAATCACAAAAAAATACAAGTCCCTAAGGTTTGGGACGCATTTTGAGCCAAATGGAGCCAAATATGGCCTGTATGACCTATTCTTTGACCATTTTCTATGTATGTTGATCAAATGAACTATTTTTTTCTCTACCCATCTCTATTACAGGTAGTCTAAGGGTTACCTGCCTTGAAATGCCAAGAAAATACAACTCCCTACGTTTTGGGACGCATTTGCAGCCAAATTGAACAAACTATGAAGTATATGACCTATTCTTAGCCCATTTACTACGTTTTCGACCAAATGACCTATTTCTTTCTCTAAACGTGCATATTTTAGGCATTCTAAGGGGTTCATGACTTGAAATCACAAAAAAAATACAAGTCCCTACGTTTTGGGACGCATTTGGAGCCAAATTGAACCAACTATGAAGTATATGACCTATTCTTAGCCCATTTACTACGTTTTCGACCAAATGACCTATTTCTTTCTCTAAACATGCATATTTTAGGCATTATAAGGGGTTCATGACTTGAAATCACAAAAAAAATACAAGTCCCTACGTTTTGGGACGCATTTGGAGCCAAATTGAACCTAATGAACTATTTCTTTATCTACACCTATTCATGAATAATGAACCAAGGAACCAAGTTTAGGGAATTTGTTACCGTAATCTGCTGAGCTGTGGGGTTTACAGGCACTGTGCCTTTCCCAGGCAACTCCTTGAAGTGTGTCTTTAGAAACAGCTCAGGAGCTGTTGGTAGCTGGCCCTTGTTCTTCGCCGCCTTTGATACAAAAAAAAAGGAATAATCGTTAACCATGTCAAACCCTTGTTACATTGAAATACACAAATGTCTTGTAATATAAGATATTTTTAAATAAACTTACCATCCTTTTTGCATGTTGGGTAGCTGCCAACGAACCCTGAAAGTGGGTCCCTCGGATGGGATTTTCCATAGAACCGCCCCTTCTGTTCTTCTGGTTCTACGCCGACCTCTCCTTGTAAGTTGTATCGTTAGCAACAATGTCCATCATCTGCTTGTGGAGCTCCGCACTCAACCAACTTGGCATGGCGCCTTTCATCTTGTGCGTGATGGTGTGGAACATGTCATGCAGGCGTGTGGCTACCCTCCTCTGGAATGTGATCTTCACTAGCTCGTCCATCTGAGGTGCCCATCTGTATTGTGCCTGCAAATGATAAAATACAAAAGTTATACACAAAACTAAATCAACACAATAGCTAAAACATGTATTAACCAAGACCCAAAAATATCATACGCTGAACAAGTTCCACCAGTGTTCCTTCGTAGCTGGAGGCACTTCGGAGAAGTTCCTCCAAGGGGCTCGGTAGTATCCAGTAATCGTACCAGATACCGCACTTCGAACCTTAGGATCATCAAACCTATCACAAACGGGAAACAACAATGTTAAACAAGTTCGAAATATGTAATATAAAACAAATGTATCTGATCTTCCATATCATGATATTTACTTACCACAACGTAGTAGGGTCCAAAAACGGGAGCTGTGACTCATCCCGTGGCTCATCCTCTGACTCATCCCAATGTCCATCATCTACAGGAGTGGATGGGGACGTCTGATCATCAACTAAATCGGCTGCCTCCGCATCAAACATCTCCTCATCCTGGTCGTCGGTGAACAGGGCGCGGGCGGTCTCTTTCTCTTTCCCCCTTGCTTTCTTCGACGACTGCCCACTTTTTCCACCCGCCATGACTACCTGAATCAGATGTTAGTAAAATGACAAGATATTATAAATAAGGAGTGCAGTGCAACGTAATATGGCTTTTATACAAACACAAAAAAGTTTTACATAAGCCTCATTAATATTTTGATTTTACAATAAGAAGCATACGTTTAAAGGAGATAAACATTTTCTCCTATTCAGTACTCTCATCACTACTTTCACTACTAGAGTCGTCAGTACTATCATCTAAAACTGCATCGATGTCATCATCATCGTCACTATCACTAGAGCCGATACTAGATTCATCGTCTTCATCGCTTGAGATCACAAAGCCATCGTCATTGTCTTCATCATCATCATCCATTGCGTAGTCTGGAATGTCACTCGGCGGGCAAAGCGTTGCATGTAATGTTGGGGATGGTGATTGCAGAAACTCTAAGTCCACCGGAGCATCAACCACTGACCTTGCATGTGTTTTAAACACAG